GTAGAGGTGTCGCTATCTATAAAATTCGACTACTTAGCGAATTATATGTAGTAGGGGGGCTTTAAGAAGGGGAGATAGGGAGAGACATTCAGTATCTCAAAAAAGTGCCTGGAACATTTACATCATTTGCTAAGCAATCGAATTTTATAGATAGCGACACCTCTACGGTACATGACGACTCTTGTCCTCATTCAAGCAACGTTTTGGACACTTCGCAGAATGGGGAAGCTTCGAACTGCACGAGAAGTCGAGTTCAAGGTTTGCGTTGAGCCTCTTTCATCTCCACATCCTTCGTACTGTCACTTCAGTCCTTTGCATCTTGGCATATGAATGCAGCGTGAAATTTTTCACTTTGATCCCATACATCCTTCAAGGGACGAAGGATCCACACTGCCAATCGGCCATTGGAAGTAGAGCAATTGTCTCTTGTGGATGTGGACGCTACAATGGCGTCCTACACATTACATTTTGATATCTTTTACGACTTTGATGCCAACAACTCGTTTGATGCACCATTTATGACTCACTGCAGCGACTTTGCAGAACAGGTGCAGTTTGCTTCGCTGCAGATGAGGGGGTGTGTCTGTATAGGTGATTTGGGGTGATACAAAGCCGTTTTCCATCAGATGTCGAAGCGAAGAAGTGACGAAAATACCAGTCATTTTCCAACGAATGCTGACGCTTGTGCGCTTGGAGAACGGTGGAAAACAGCTTTGGGGCGGCCCCAAACCCTTTCCTGCTGGCACGCCCATCGTCCGCAACGACAAGACTATCATCTTCATTAGACCTCTATCGTGGTCGCCGCTTCCCCGCCTTATTTTTCTTGAGTTAGGATTTATGTAAGCGCATATCGTGGTCGCCGCTTCCCCGCCTTATTTTTCTTGAGTTAGGATTTATGTAAGCGCACAGAGTTTATGAGTTCGTAACGTCACTTCTTCTCGATGGTAGAAGAGAGGAATAGAAGCGCAAGTTTGAAAACGCTTGAATACTGTGGAATAAGCTGTGCCGCCACATGGGATTGCCAGTTGCACTAGGCGTGTTCTGAAAGGATATGAAATTGCTTGCGTTCGTTGCTGCTCTGCACCTTGAAGTAGTGTTTCATTTTAGGTGCGCACAGAGTATGAGAAGAACAAACTTAAGTACGGCAGGAGGCTATATAGGTTGGTTGTGACGTTTCAAGGGCTTGTCGAATAAATTATGGCATTCTTTAGTTGCATTGTAGGTACCGCAACATGGGCGTGCGAGATATACTACGAAAGAACTCTCAAGGTCATATCGGAAAAGATGACTCCCAAAGTTCAGGACGCAAGGATTAAACCTACATTCTGCTATTAGCAGTTTCAGCAGCGTCGGTGACTGTGGACGTCATCACGAATTCTGATCTACCAAAGTGTCGCTCTTCCTCTTACTGTTTCACTGAGATCAGATTTCGTGGTAAAGCGGGTAGATGAGCACTGCTTTTTTCCAGTTCTCCCAGTTAGTTTATTGTTACTTGGTCGTTTTGCGTTCATTTGATATTATTTCGGATATAAGTGGGCTTTGCTGAATCTCGCAGAAGCCACTGTTCAGTGCAGATGACTTCAGCTGAGATCATCATTGAGATTTCATGCAGCCACATTTTGCTACTCTTCTACGACACCTCACATTGTATGGGTACTCTCAGATTATCGTCGTGACATTAGGACTGTAGAGCTTAGGATCAGGAATTGCTGTATATTTCTTCTTCTTCTGGATATTGAAGAGGCTACCAGAATAAAAAACAATTACATGCGAGGTCAAAGGAATCATTCAAATTAAGCCTTTTCTGGTATTTTTTGAGAAGTCTCAGTTGAACGTTTCTTGTCAAACCTGTTTAAAATGCTTTTCAGTGCAGACGATTAGGCGTGTCGTGGGGCTGAGTTAGGCATGGCGCTAGCCGGTCCTCATCAGTTTTGGAAGCGGACAAGCTGCCGCGCCCAACCCAGCCCCCCTTGAGATGTGGCCCAGCAGTCTTTACCCGGAAATATCTTTGCTGGCTCATTGAGCTGCCTTTTGTTCCCAACATTGTCTTGGAAATATGGCCTTTCATTAGAGCTATGGATTAGTGTGATTGCTTGTTAGTTTTTTTCCTCGTTAAACAACCACCCGGTCAAGCCTATTTTAATCATAAGTTAAGCTTATCATTAGTGCGTGGTTTGGTTGTTCCTCCTTGCTTGCTCATTCATTCGAGACTGTGCGTCTTTTGTTGAATAATTCTAGTCTTTCTTGATGTCTATAGATGTTTCATTTTATCACTTGGAGAATAAATATATATGTACATTGGTTTGATTCTAATTAGCGAACTAACCTAGCGGAGTTTTAGCGAGTTACCCTATTTGAATAAAAAAGTATGCTAGTTTGTGCTGACTGACGCGAATCATATTTGGAAGATCACAGGTTGATGCTGACAACGTTAATCCGAAGAATCATGACAAACACAGCTGAGAAAGGAAGATCTTTAGTAAGTACCAGCTACTGTATTCGGTTTTACCGGTTTTACGATTACGGGTTTCCCCTAAGTGGTCCTGTTCTACACTCCCTCGAAGTGAGGGTCGAGGATTACCTTCATTTAGATCTGTTTTTTTCATTCGTATCAGAAGTGGTTCTGGTTCACCTTATTGATTTTCCCTTGAAAGGTTGGGAGACGGACAATACAATCGTAATTTGCCGCCCCAGCGTCGTCCTCGATGGCGCACCAACCAGTTCATGCGGATAGCAGCAACAAGAACTGCCATATGAAACCCAAGGTGACGACAAGTACATGACGGGCTATAGTAGTTTTCGCAGATCTCTTAAAACTCTAAAAAACAGGCCAGGGCAGGAGTAGCTCGTCTGTCCGTGCGATGGCGTCGTTCGCCAGTGGGGCGCCGACGCAGCGCGGCGGATCACGATTGTCTTAATTCACCTACGTTTCGATCTGGCCAGTACGCAGATGGCCGGGCTGTGCCCAAGTGGTCGGGCTGCTCATTCATTATTATTATCCTTATTCTCAAAGAGGCTCTTCAAAAGAAGCCTAATGTAGTTGTGCATCGTCACAATCTTCTTAGAAAAAAGGGTAGGAAATTTGCATAATGCAACCAGTGAGCGAAGCTCGAGGTATCACAAGAATTCTTGATTTCCGGCGCTGGGTAAGGCGCTCCATCTCAAACAAGGTCAAAACCAGCATCTTGTGGCAGTTGCGTTCTCAACTGAGGTTCAAACCACCTCTCAGGCAGTTGCGTCCGAAAAGCGTCGGACTCATGCTCGCCTTCCTGCTGAAGGAACAGCGTTTATCAACATGCTGCAGTCTATAGTCTGATAAGCTCGGGACATTAATGAAAACGAATCGAAGCTCAAAGAATTAAGACGTATTATTTTTAGATTGCTGTATGTCAGCTTACAAGTGATCATGAAGTCGAGAAGAATTTCGAGATCTGTAAGGATATGGTCGAAAGAGCGAGTGCACGGAGTTGTAAGGTGAAGTCTATCAGAAGAATATCAGGCACAATTGACCCTGGGAGGAGGAGGGGGCATTTTGCTTGCTACTGTCGACGTGGAGGACCTGTAAACTCTTGTAAAGATAGTGTAGCCATACATAATGAAGCTCTTACTATTCGCAGCTTCAGGAGTTCACAGACCTCACCGAGGTAAGGAAAAACGAATGTAGCGTTCTGAATAGCAAAATGCACCCATCGATTTTTTTTGGAGAACATCCCCGAATCGAGAAGAGATCGTTTTCGAGAAGACATCGTTGTCATAATTTCAGATGGTATTTTTTCCGGAGTGCTTCGATTTCATTGGTCGAACTAAGGAGGAAAACATCAACTCGGCGACAGAGGAGAATGGTCCTTTCATAGAGCGATTCAGGTTTTTGAAGCCACTGTCTAGGTTTATTGTTCTTCGCTAATTCGTGAACTTGCAGATCCTTAGCTAAAGAGCATGGCGTTTGGCTCTCCCTCGGCGGTTTTCACAACAAGGTGGATATTTTCGTTTAATCAATGTTTCTCGACAGGGACAAAAAGACCATGGTGTGGCGCATACAAGGAAAAGGAACAATGAAATATTTCGGCTTTCCTCTCATATGATCTCGAGAATATCGTCAATTATTTCCAAAAAATGCGGTGGTTTGTCGCACTGCGCACTGTCTTGAAAGACAAACGGTACACTCACGTGGAGGACGGTCCTATACGTGATGAGAATGGATTAGCAGCTGTGAAAGCCTATCACTTTCATCACTCAGGACGCGCGGAAATAGGGCTGAAGGGTAGTGATACCGGGGTGCCGTCTCCGGACTCCATCGTCCCATGCCACCATCAAAGTAGAGCACACGCGTCGATACCCAAAGCTTGAAGCGAACCCGCATTCAGAAGCAGAGAACCCAGAATTGAGAGGGCGCCTA